AACTTGTAGATGTTCCCCCAACTCAGTGTCCTACAGGTGACATTTGACAGAGAGGTCTTTTCTGTCAAAGCACTAAGACCTGCCACGAACCCCTCATGCTACAAACATCAGTAGTACAAGTTTGTTAAACGTCTCATCAGTGAACAACTGGTATCCAGTTGCAGAGCGAATATCCAACAAGCTGGAACATCTCTTTAAACAACAATGAGGGCTTTCCCAGTGCTCGTAATTTCTTATTAATTGCCCTTCTAAACAGCTTGAGAATTCCCTGATAAACACAAGCAATACCTGAACCTTTTGCACAGCTTGCAATTATTAGGTTACAATTGCCCATTAAGGCCTTGCCTGAGATTTCGGGTAAGGTTTAGAGTTAAGCTGGCCACACACCTTACAATTATCTGCAGAATTTCTGTGGTCAGATGGAAAAGATGCAACAGATTCCTCCATCTACACTTAACTGTGTGGATGGAGTAAACTCCACCTGGGCCAATCTGTTGCACTTTTTCCATCTGACCACAGAAAATCTGCAGATAATTGTAAGGTGTATGGCCAGCCTAAAGGTGCCCATACACCGTACGATTATCGGACTAAACTTTTAGTCAGATGATCGAACCGTCCTACGATTTTCGTACGGCGGCCCCATCCTGCCCCGATTATCGCAAGGTTCAATCAGCGGTAGTTAAAAAAACACCTGGACGAATTACGGTAATCAACCGCACCTATTTTCGTTTGCGCATGAGCAGTGTTAATCGTGCGACTTTTGACGGACGGAAACGCCACCAACCATGCGAACATCGTACGATCGACCAAAGTTTTCAAACATGCTTGAATATCAAAAGTCATACGATTGTACAGTACTAACGGTCGGGCACTACATTCACACGTTACGATTGTCGTACGAAAAGTCGATCGCATACCATTATCGTACGATAATCGTAAGGTGTATGGGCACATTAAGGCAAACTTTCAGGGTTGGATTAAAAGAGAACTATGGGTGTAGGTGTTTTTCCCCATAGTTCTCTTTAGGGTCAGGGGAGGAAATATACTAATCTCCTCCCGTGACCCAAAGCTCAGTATATAGCAGGCTATTGCCCGCGATATACTGAGAGCGCCGCAGCCGGGACAGATCCCAACAATACTGTCTGGATCCACCCAGCTGCATGAGTGACAGCTGGCTCTGCCCATCTAGTTCCTCAAGAACTGGCCGAAATTCACACAGTGTATGACCACCTTTATTAATCGGTAAATGTAATCTATACCAATAATTTAAAAATGTAGGATCATCAGCCCCAATTATCGGTAGATCCAATAAATTGGTCATCCACCAGTGTCTAGGCAGAGAGCAGGCAAGAGAAAAGCAGAAACAACAAGGGTCAGCACAAAGGGCAGGAGACATCAGCGAGGTCAGGTAATCGCAGGAACAGCAGGAGCTGTGGCAATTTAACATGCAGGGTGGCTGGTAAGAAGACAGAGCACTAGCCACCAGAAATGAAGGCATTTAAATACCTTCCAAGCCAGTAAGCACCCCCAACATCACAAGCCAGTAAGCATGCCCAACATCACAGATACACAACACACCAATGCATGTGCACTGACACACATACGCATGGTCACACGAGTGACCGGTCATCTAAGGCCACTAGCCAGCATGCACGAGCACATGACACGCTGGAGTCAGACAGAATGGCCCATGCCCCTGGCTGTACATACACAGATCCTAGAGATACTGTTGCAGAGTCAGGATGCTTGTTCGGAATAACATGACGATATTGAGAAAAGGTAACAAAGGAACTATTTATAAATGGAATAACATTTCTGCATGGAATTTAGCTTTAATATTAATGACTTATTAGCAATAAAATATTGTGCTTGTATGATATTTGAGGACAATAATACAAATTGCTCCGTCATACAGCCAAGTTGAGGGAAAGGCCAGACCTCAGATTACATCAGCTACAATGCCTTTGAGGTTTGAGAGTAGCTGATAAATGACAGGTTGCCTTTGTCAAATCCGGGAACTCTTGAGACCCGAGAATAATCCCTTTTCCAAGTGGTTTGGTTTATTTTACAATGCGTTAGAGACTAGAACATGCAGCATCACAGCAACAAGTTAGGCCGGGTTCACACCTGGGCGTTTTACAGTGCTGATCAACGTGCTGTAAAATGCTCAAACAGTGAAATCCCATACTTCCCTATGGGCATGGTTCCCACCTGGGCGTATTTCAGTCCGTGGAAACGTGCTGAAAAATGCCCTACGCCCAAACAAGTACAGGAGTTTCTTTGGGGCGTTTTTCCACGTGTTTCCATTGGTATTGCCGAGTGTGGCTCAGGTTTAACAAAGTGGTAACCCCGAGCCACACTTGGGAATACAGCGTAGGACTTACCTTGCCCGCGATCCCCGCTGTGTCCTCCGGTGGCTGCCGACTTCCGGGTTACGTCCCTTGGAAGCGGCGGGAAGTTTGAAAGTTAAAATTTTTTTCTTTTTTTTTTTTAAATAGAGAAAGTAAAAAGGAATTTTTTTAAAAAATCATACCGCCAGTGAAACGCGCGTTTCACTGAATGGAAAAACGTGCTAAAAAACGAGCAGAAAAAAACATGCCTGTGCTACGCCCAGGTGTGAATCCAGTCTTAATGTCTGATTTCCCAAATACCATCTCACACATCTATACAGTTTTCACACCCGGGGATCACAGAATATCATCCTACCAGCAAGCTAGTGGCCACAATTAAAGTGTATGTAAACCATAAGAATGAATTTCTCTTATTTGCTCCCTTTCGATCTGTTAAACATACCAATAAAAGCCTTTTTGTTAGATCTGTTCGATAAGTGCAAGCACCTTTTGGTCCTGCCAGAAATCCTGCCAGCTGAAAACCTCCTATGATCCCTGTCTGTGCTGTACTCTCATCAGTTGCACTGTTTTTAGCTATCTCTGTGGACTTTGAAACACCTCACTCGATGTTATAGAGAGAGGAGAGGGGAAGGTACTTTGTAATCCTGTCCTTTGGTGACAACAGATTGTCATGGTCTCTCTTAGCCTCTCGCAGGGTGAGGCTAAGAGTGTAAATATCACAATTTTTTTAAATAAAAAGATTCGTAAGCAGTGTTGTCAGCCCTGTCCAAGTTCTCTCCTGGTGGACTACACAACACCGCCCCTTCTCTCCATAGCATAAAGTGGGGGTCTGTAGTCCAGCAGAATAACAGAAGCTACATTGTCAGCTCCCTACAAACTCACTAGATTTCTGGCAGATCAACGGGTATTTGTCTGGGGACATGTGCATGTGATAAACAGATTAACATATTTTTTTTTCATTTTGCCCAGACATTCTTTTAGATGTATATAGACTGTCAAGAAGAGCAAATCAAGTATATATGGCCCATTATGTGCATACTTCTTGTGATTTGAAGTACATTTTTGGTCATAAGGTAGAATTAGAACTTTACAAACAAACAGTAACTAGCAGCCACGTGTAACAAAAACTTCTATCATGCTGGCCACATACATGACCAATTTTTTAATAAATGTCAACCATCTCTGAATCACCAAAACAATGAAACAAAGCATTGCAACCTATCGCCATCTCTGAATCCCAAAGATGATGACACAAAGCAAGGCAACCAACCACCATCTCTGAATCCCATGGATGACGAATCAAAGCAAGGCAACCTACCACCATCTCCGAATCCTATAGATGATGAATCAAAGTAAGGCAACCTACCACCATCTCTGAATCCCAAAGATGATGAATCTAAGCATGGCAACCTATCGTCATCTCTGAATCCCAAAGATGATGAATCAAAGCAAGGCAACCTACCACAATCTCTGAATCCCAAAGATGATGAATCAAAGCAAGGCAACCTACCACCATCTCCGAATCCTATAGATGATGAATCAGAGCAAGGCAACCTACCACCATCTCTGAATCCGAAAGATGAGGAATCAAAGTAAGGCAACCTACCACCATCTCTGAATCCCAAAGATGATGAATCAAAGTAAGGCCAACTACCACCAACAGTTTATATCTATATGGCAGGGATGCTGGTAGGTTCTTCTGATCTGTCCCATAATTTCTGTATTTTAATACTTATTGAAAGCGTTTGGGATTAGCAGAATATTATTGTCTGTATGGTCCTCATTACTCTTTCAGTACTCTATCTGTATTAAGGACAGAAAATACTGCCTGCCAAGGGACAACTGTAATCTTGAAGTGTATGGCCATTTCATGGATAAAGTGGGGAAGTTTTTACTGTTATTGGGGGTCTCATTTAGAGAAACTTTCTCTCACTTACGGTCATGGTGATAGCAGCTTTACCAGAATGGAAGAGGGGGTAAATCTACAATGGCAACACAGACAGGAAAAAAAAAATGCTAGCTGGGGTGGGTTTGGCCACCATCAGGGAATAACAAAGGTGTCCTGCTGCACTCCTTACCGGATAACCCCTAGGAAGATGGGTGCTGAAGTGACCGCAGATGGCACCCCACATTGGATCAAAGAGGAAACAAAACCCCACTAGGACACTGCAGGTATGTTTCCAAAAGCATGATGGCCACCAACAGGGGCCTCCTCTAGGCTATGCTTTTGTTTTTTTTGCCTAGTGTCCTACTCCTGAAGGTGGCGTTATAACATGGTGGTCAGGAATACAAGATCTCTGCCGTTTCCTTCAAAGAACGAAAGAGAAATGCCAATTCTCCGTAGAGCAGGGAAAGGCCAGAACCTCCGTCAGCTTTTTATTGATGCCGCTAGATTTCCCCTCATTTCCTGCCGGGTGAAACTCTTGTCACTGTGTTAAAAACCTCATCATTATAACAATTAAATGAAAAAAAAAAAAAAGGAAACATTTCTCAAATTGAGCCTAGGATATTGGTAAAGAAAATGACAGCTACTCTATCTTCCCCAATCTTTTAAACATTTTAAAAAAAATATATAGGCTTGACATACACTCTAAGTACAGAGATATAGTTAGGGAGATGCAGTAGGATAGAATGAAATAAACCATTTACCTTCCTCCTCTCCAGTCCAACATCAATGACAAAGTGCACGTTGCTTATCCAGACCAGAGACTCGCCATGGCTGCTTGTTAAGATCACGATCCTCCTGTAGTCATTGCCGCCATGGGCCAGCCCATTGTACGGCATGTAATAAGGCAGACTGTGATAAGGATAGATTGGAATGGGATGTAGTTCACCCAGTGCCGGATTCATATGTAAGGCTTCCTGATGGATCATTTCAAAGGCCTTGCTTATTTCCTGAAAACAACTACAAATTGTTAAACAGAATCCTCAACCACTGCAACAACCAATACAAGATCAGTGTTTTTACATAGTAACTACCTGCCCTTCAAAAGCAGTTTCAGGTAACGAACAAAAGCAATAAGTGATTTAATATTGCTATCCAGCAAACAGTAACAGGTATATTCACAAAAGGGTGAAGAGTTTGGAGAAGGCCGGAGAGGTGAACAATCTAGATTTGGACAAGTTCTCCAAATCAGCTCACTTTCCAGTTCAGCTATGTTGTCTTAGATCGTTCCCTTCTCCTGCCTTCTCCAAACTCTTCACCCTTCAGTGAATAGCCTTGTAAATGTGTGTTCAATTATGAAAGTTCCCTCTGTTTATATTACTCTATAAGCTGCCATACACGGCTCAAACGTGGGCTGAAAGAGAGAAAATCAATCGATTTCCCATCCATGCTAACAGCGTGGATGGAGGAACTTCCACTGCCGATTATTGTATTCAGGCAGCCAGAGCAGCCTAAAAACAATGGAGCTGCCAAATAGTGACTACATCTGATAGGATACAGTCACGGTTCGGCTGATAATTTTCCACCCAGCTTAGTTGATTTTTTTAATAGACTTTGGCCAGGCTGGGTGGTGTGTGCAGGGCCATCAACAGCTTGAATTTTAGCCAATTCAAACAGGAATCAGCCAAAATTTGAGCTGTCTTTGAGGGTCATAGGCCTGGTTCACACTTAGGTTTCGAAAAAAGCAAAAAGCACTTTTAACTGCCCAACAAAATAAACCCGATGATTTTCAGTGGCCCTGGCTCGACCTGAGCAGAAAAATGCCAGAAAAGGTACAGGAGCTTCTTTGGGCAGATAAAAGTGCTTTTTTGCCTCATAGACTTAATTGAAAATGCCCAAAAACGCGCAACAGAAGCATGTTGTACATATTTGTGAAGGTTTTTGCACGTTTATACGTGCGTTCATCCATTGCCCACAATAGTTTATGAGCTGCCAATCAAAATGCTCGTCTCCATGTACGCGCGTTAAACGCGCATACAAATGTGCATATAACCGCATGCTGTTAATGCGCGTATGAAATGCGTACAATTGGTGCCGCCTAGGTGTGAACCCAACCTTAAAGTTGAACTCTGGGTTTAAATTATTATGCATATTTACATTGGTCCAGTTTGGCCCTATGTAAGTATACATATACCATAGCTGATCGGCCTGATGGGGATCATGTAAAGGACTGTAGAAGCTGGAGCTACTACAGTGCTGGCCATGATCTTCCAAGTCGTCACAATCCACAACTTGTCCAATCAAAGAATGCCTGATATATATACACTTATAAAAAAAATACTATGCGTTTTCTGAATGGCTGATGTGCTGAGTGAGGGACCCCCTTTGTTTTCAGGGCCCGGAAGACTGTGTTCAGCACTGTAGTAGCTCCGGCTATTACACTGCTTTACAGGATCCCCAGAGGCCGCTTAGTTGCGACATATGCATGCTTACATTGGACCAAGGTGGACTGATGCAAGTAGCTACACCTGGACTTCAACTTTTCTGTAATTCACTCCTGCTAGAATCCATATATTCACTAGGTCAGTGGTTCTCCACCTGCATAACCTCATAACCCTCATTTGTACTTGGTCATTAAAGGAGAACTATGAGATGAGTGATTTCCACTCACCTCATAGTTCTAGCCGACCTGCGACAATGAGACTGTCACAGGTCGGCTCAGTAGATCGGAAGGTGAGCGAACACATACCGGGTTCGCTCACCTCTCGATCCTGTCACGGCTCTCTGCCGTGACAGGGGGAGGGGCTGGATTCCCCTCTCCCCGCTCCGATCTGCCAGCGCTGACTGGCAGAACGGACGGGGGAGGGGCGGTTACAGCTGGCTCTGCCTCTAGATAGGCAGAGCCAGCTGTCACTCACGCAGCTGGGCAGATCCCATCGTCTAAGTCGGGATCCGCTCCGGCTGCGGCGTCTCAGCATACCGCGAGCTGTAGTTCGCGGTATACTGAGCTTAGGGTAACGGGAGGACGCTAGTTTGTGTCCTTCCGTTACCCTAAGGAGAACTATGGGGAAAAACACTGACCCCATAGTTCTCCTTTAAGTCGCGACCCATACTGGAACGCACGGCACTGCGGTACCGCATGTTCCGGTGCAAGTGATCAAACTGAGGGTGGGAGGTGTGTTTGGGGTGCTATTCAAATGAATGGCAACGCACCTCCTGCACCAGAATAAACAGTAGGTGTGATTGTGTGGTACTTTGCATTTGAAAAACTGACAGACACACACAATCTCACACACTCACGGAGGTTCTCACACACGCATACACATTCTGATTTTTTTTTTAGGGGTTCAGTGTTGTGCTGTGACAACTCCATCCATACATGCATTGCTTGTACAGCTCCCTTGCACTCCCTGTAGAGGTGCTGGGAGCCAGAATGTGACATCACTTCGGTCACCCGAGCTGTAAGCAATGCACGTATGGATGGAGCTCCCTCACGGGCATACCCCCAGCCCACCCCACCCCACCCCACCTCAAACTGACGCTCCACGCCAAGCAGCATATGTTTAATGGCTGTTCGGCATGAGATCTGACAGTGCTGGGCTATGGGGGAGGCTGAGGAGGGTCTCACCTAGTGCAGTGAAAGGCATGCAGCGACCCACTGAACATGTGGTCGCGACCCACTTTTGGGTCACCACCCACCAGTTGAGAACCACAGCACTAGGTGACACCGACAGTTGACTAAAAAATATAGTATATTAGATATAAAACATCAGCTGAACTAAAAAAGTCAATTAAAGTAATTAACTAGCCAAAAACTATTATATGTTCACTCCGAAATATATCTATCTAAAAATATCACACCATCACCAATCTAATAAGATATATAAAATCCACTGTGGACAGGTGCTCTCACACATGGCAGCTCAAATGTTCCAATGCAAGTATTTGGAAAATGTGAGAAACCTCGAATGGCTGAAAAAGCAGCCCTGGCAGACGTTGTATTAACATCCACTAATGTCTATTTATTTAGCTCACGGTAATTTGTTCTGGAAGGCATTGAATGTGCAGAAAAAGCCCAAAACTCACACCCACTTACTTGATCGCAAGCCAGGAAGACAACAATGTCCCCTTTTTCCTGAGAGTGATGTATCTCGAACAGAAGCCGGATGGCAGCGAGGAAAGGGTCCCTCTGAACGCCAGGGGCGTATACTACCTCTGCAGATTGCGGGCACTCTACCTCGATGAGGGGTACACTGCCATAGTAAGTCACTAGCTTGTCAGACAGCTCAGGTGGGGTGATGAGCACAATTTTCAGTTCAGGTCTTGCCAAGAGTATGTTTTTAAGGTATGCCAGAAGAACGTCCGATGACACAGATCGCTTGCAAATATCATCAATAACTAGAACTCCATAACCGGATAATAGAGGGCTGGACATCATCTCCCTTAGGAACATGTCATCTGTGCAATACCTGCAATTAGCACAGGAAACTCATCAGAAGTTACAGAACACATACACTGCTACAAGAATCTTATTTTGCCTGGAGCAGTGGACTAGGGTTAGTGTTAACCATAACACAGTCTTTTCATTTACTTACGTATTTACTTATTTGGAGTGATCACATTTTGAGAGCACTACTGTGAAAGCGTGGAGACATAATTCCTTGAACAAATATAATCAATGAATATGGCTTGGCCTGCTACGTTTAAAAAAAAAAAGTTGTAAAAGTCAATACTTTGATGAAACGCGTCAGCTCAAGCCATACCTAATAGATCGATTAGATCAAGTGATTATTATAGTGCTATGTGCACTTTTTCTATACATATATGTTTTTGGACATTGTATTGCACTTTAATGATCCATTCATGCATATATCATTTATGCACTTTAGAGTTACATACATGAAACAAACAAACATGTGTTAAGTGCACTACTGGTGGTAGGGATGTTGGTGGGAGTAGTTGGTGTGCTGTCTCCTTTAACAGGGAGAGGAGCCCTGTGCACAGAAGAAATAGAAAACAAAAAGGAGTGCTACAGTTGGATGGAGGTGGTAATTGCCATTCTGATGAAGATTGGAACGGTGGTCTCTTGGTACTGTCTTTTTTGTCAAGTGCTAAAAATATGGTGTGCTCGGGCACTTAGGGTATAAGAAGGACCTCTTTTTTAGAAATAATGTCCCTTTTTAAGTGCTACTTTGGTAAGAGTATCAAGCTCTTTGGTGAATGTTACTGAAGGGTCCTGTGAGAGTTGTTGGTAGGTAGATTTATCAGCAAGCAACCTACTGGCTATTGCAATGTAATCAGAACGGTTTTGAATAACGATCCCTCCCCCCTTGTCTGCTAGTTTGATGATGATGCTCTTGTTGGAAACCAGATCTTTAAGGGCCCTGTTTTCACTGGGGTTTATGTTGGAATGTTTTTTAGCATTGGTGCACACCTTGAGGGGATCTGAATAGGCAACAGTACGAAAAGACCACCGTTCCAATCTTCATCAGGATGGCAATTACCACCTCCAGCCAACTGTGAGCGATTCCTCTTCTTTTCCTACATCCATCACCATATGTTCCAAATACACTTCTGTGATCCCTTTTAGGTAGTAGCGCTTTCTTTTTGTTTATACATACATACACAGCGGTGTATTTAACTTTGGTGCTGCCCTAGGCAAGGCAGCAACGCCGACCCCCCCCTCCCCCGGACTGACCCGGAGCGAATCTGCCGCTCCAGGCAAACGCCTTGTTTGCCTCGCGGCAGATACGCCCCTGTACATACATACATACATACATGCATAAATGAACCAAAGTGAACCACTTCCTGGGCAGATGACAACCAGCCACATACATCCCTGTTCACCCGAGCTTGGCTGTCACTGGACTGCCCCTGTTAGGTGTTTTGACAATTGTGCTGTCATGTAATGCAGCCTTGCATCACAAATTACTATTACCCACTGCAGTCTACATGGAAATACAGCCGGTCTATAACAGCCCTTCCCTTATGGCCAACAGCTTTACCCTCCCATATGCCAGCCCCTCTCACCTTTCCCTGTGGGTTGCAGAAGTGAAGAGACTCAGTGATGCTGTTATTTTAAATGTGGCCTATTTCAGACCCATCACATGACCCTGAAAATGGTCCTGTGGCTGATTTCATGCATTACCTCGATATATTTAAAACCCAATTTTTTAGGGGTGACAGAAAGGTTAGTTGTGTGTTTTTATTTTATTTTTTACATTTTTTGGTATGCGAGTACAAAAGGGGTACTAAGTACTCCATACTCATGTACCATATTCATGTATGGTGGAGGGCCAGATATCTGGATATTCTAAAAGGGGGCTTCCAGATTCTGATTAGCGTCCCCCCCAGACCCCTGGATGTGGGGATGAATCCCTTGTCCACAGCCACATGGGGACAAGGTGCCTTGCCAAGGGATGCCTATTAAATAACATTTGTTTTCTTTGGAGCCCCATCAGTGCCTGACTGTGAATATAGACAGGCATATTCTAAGAGTATCGAATACATGTCAGTATGGCATGGGTCCCCTGACATCTATTCTAAGTCTGCACTAAACATAAATGTACAGTAAAAATAGGCAGATCATGAGCTGGTGCATTTGCTGGCTTCAAAACAAAACAGGTCTGTGCACTTTAAATGTGAAGTCTGCAAATGAATAATAATTTACAGATTTACTTCCTAAATTTATGAGCTGTCAATGCAGGGGTTAAAAACCTAATCAGGCTGCATAAAATTACTGCTATTGCAGTAAATTTCCCAGTGAAAGGCTGCTGCTTTTTCATGACAGTGATTTGCTGCACGCAGAGCCAGTCTCTTTTCACCATCCTTTTGCGGTGTGAACTGAGAGTTGGACAAGGTCACAGGGATTAAATGGAGGAACACCACCAACCTTAAGACTGTCTCGTTAGTGCAACAATTCTCAAAAGGTACAACGTAGCCAACTTCATGTCCAATGTTGACATCCATTTCATCTGCCATCCTCATGGCGAGCCAGATGGCGGTCTGTTTTTGAACCTGGGTACATACGACGGTCCCATGTCGATAATTAACAGATAGGCAGTATTCCGCGCACCACTGTGGGATCTATGGAGACAATAGGAGAGGTGTAAATGGGTACCATAATCCCGTCATAAGATAACAGTTACAGAGAAATGTAAAGTAAATATAAAATCTTATATTCTGTGTTGTGAAAAAAAAAACTATGCTGAAAGCACGCTTTGGTGGGCATTAAAGGAGTGTTAATAGTATGACAGTGGGCAGTATGTACAGGAGAGGAGGGTATGACAGTGGGCAGTATGTACAGGAGAGGAGGGTATGACAGTGGGCAGTATGTACAGGAGAGAAGTGTGGAGGGTATGACAGTGGGCAGTATGTGCATTATGTACAGGAGAGGAGTGTGGAGGGTATAACAGTGGGCAGTATGTACAGGAGAGGAGTGTAGAGGGTATAACAGGGGACAGTATGTACAGGAGAGGTGTGCAGAGGGTATGACAGTGGGCAGTATGTACAGGAGAGGAGTGTTGAGGGTATGACAGAGGGCAGTATGTACAGGAAAGGAGTGTGGAGGGTATGACAGGGGGCAGTATGTACAGGAGAGGAATGTGGAGGATATGACAGGGGGCAGTATGTACAGGAGAGGAGTGTGGAGGGTATGACAGGGAGCAGTATATACAGGAGAGGAATGTGGAGGATATGACAGTGGGAGCAGTATGTACAGGAGAGGAGAGTGAAGGGTATGACAGTGGGCAGTATGTACAGGAGAGGAGTGTGGAGGGTATGACAGGGGGCAGTATATACAGGAGAGGAGTGTGGAGGGTAGGACAGGGGGCAGTATATACAGGAGAGGAGTGTGGAGGGTAGGACAGGGGGCAGTATATACAGGAGAGGAGTGTGGAGGGTAGGACAGGGGGCAGTATATACAGGAGAGGAGTGTGGAGGGTAGGACAGGGGGCAGTATATACAGGAGAGGAGTGTGGAGGGTAGGACAGGGGGCAGTATATACAGGAGAGGAGTGTGGAGGGTAGGACAGGGGGCAGTATATACAGGAGAGGAGTGTGGAGGGTAGGACAGGGGGCAGTATATACAGGAGAGGAGTGTGGAGGGTAGGACAGGGGGCAGTATATACAGGAGAGGAGTGTGGAGGGTAGGACAGGGGGCAGTATATACAGGAGAGGAGTGTGGAGGGTAGGACAGGGGGCAGTATATACAGGAGAGGAGTGTGGAGGGTAGGACAGGGGGCAGTATATACAGGAGAGGAGTGTGGAGGGTAGGACAGGGGGCAGTATATACAGGAGAGGAGTGTGGAGGGTAGGACAGGGGGCAGTATATACAGGAGAGGAGTGTGGAGGGTAGGACAGGGGGCAGTATATACAGGAGAGGAGTGTGGAGGGTAGGACAGGGGGCAGTATATACAGGAGAGGAGTGTGGAGGGTAGGACAGGGGGCAGTATATACAGGAGAGGAGTGTGGAGGGTAGGACAGGGGGCAGTATATACAGGAGAGGAGTGTGGAGGGTAGGACAGGGGGCAGTATATACAGGAGAGGAGTGTGGAGGGTAGGACAGGGGGCAGTATATACAGGAGAGGAGTGTGGAGGGTAGGACAGGGGGCAGTATATACAGGAGAGGAGTGTGGAGGGTAGGACAGGGGGCAGTATATACAGGAGAGGAGTGTGGAGGGTAGGACAGGGGGCAGTATATACAGGAGAGGAGTGTGGAGGGTAGGACAGGGGGCAGTATATACAGGAGAGGAGTGTGGAGGGTAGGACAGGGGGCAGTATATACAGGAGAGGAGTGTGGAGGGTAGGACAGGGGGCAGTATATACAGGAGAGGAGTGTGGAGGGTAGGACAGGGGGCAGTATATACAGGAGAGGAGTGTGGAGGGTAGGACAGGGGGCAGTATATACAGGAGAGGAGTGTGGAGGGTAGGACAGGGGGCAGTATATACAGGAGAGGAGTGTGGAGGGTAGGACAGGGGGCAGTATATACAGGAGAGGAGTGTGGAGGGTAGGACAGGGGGCAGTATATACAGGAGAGGAGTGTGGAGGGTAGGACAGGGGGCAGTATATACAGGAGAGGAGTGTGGAGGGTAGGACAGGGGGCAGTATATACAGGAGAGGAGTGTGGAGGGTAGGACAGGGGGCAGTATATACAGGAGAGGAGTGTGGAGGGTAGGACAGGGGGCAGTATATACAGGAGAGGAGTGTGGAGGGTAGGACAGGGGGCAGTATATACAGGAGAGGAGTGTGGAGGGTAGGACAGGGGGCAGTATATACAGGAGAGGAGTGTGGAGGGTAGGACAGGGGGCAGTATATACAGGAGAGGAGTGTGGAGGGTAGGACAGGGGGCAGTATATACAGGAGAGGAGTGTGGAGGGTAGGACAGGGGGCAGTATATACAGGAGAGGAGTGTGGAGGGTATGACAGGGGGCAGTGTGTACAGGAAAGGAATGCAAAGGGTATGGACAGAGGAAGTATGTGCAGGAGAGGAGTGTGGAGAGTATGACAGTGAGCATTATGTGCAGGAGAGGAGTGCAGAGGGTATAAGAACAGGCAGGGTGTACAGAAAAGGAGAGAGCAAGCAGTACAGTATGTGCAGGACAGAAATGTAGAGGGGTAGGATGACAAGCAGTATGTGCAGGAGGAAAATGGGGAGCGTATTAGAGCAGGCAGTATTTGCAGATACAGATATTTATTCAGATGTCACCCAGGATCTCTATTGGTTAGTACACATCTGTCATTTGTGGCACATGTAGCAGCAGGTGAATACACTGGGGAGCAGCAGGTTCTTGCGGCAGCGGGTCAACACCGTTCATGACACTTTTTGTGGCTTTTTCTAATGGTTTGCTACTTTGCTTGTGTTTTTATTTCATTTTTCTAATGTCTTCCTGAATAAGTACCAAGCAGTACTCCATACTCCTTCACGTATGATGGAGGGCCAGATGTTGGGGGGTTCTCATATTCTAAAGGGGTCTTCAAGATTCTAATTAGTTTCCTGAACGCCCTCCTTCCCCGCAGACCCCCTCATCCTCTTGGGGGATTGGATGTGCATCAACATGGGAATGAGATGCCTTGCCAAGCGGTTGCCTATTAAATAGAACACGGAGAGAAAAGCAGGAAAGGAATAAAAAGCAAGTCATTTCCCCCCCAAGAAATGACTGCGTATCCAACAAAAAGAAAACTGGCTATTTGCACATGATTTCCAAATCAATATTTTATTTGTTAAGGTTTTTGTGAGTTCTTCTTTAAGGCCTGGCCACTGACAGTCCGGGAGAAAACAGAATACCCAGCGACTGGGCCAGGAATATATTACACGGTCCGACAGCAGACAGACATGAGCTCAGGAGACCACATGGAAGCTTCATTGCTGGGAGGTAAAGCACACAGCTAGATGCTGTCAGACCTCACCAGAATAAGGATGACTTCACTCCTAATCCCATCTACCAGGTGTTTTATAATTCAAAACCGGAAAATCAGATGACAGACTCAGCATGAGTATATACAAGTCATATGAAAAACAGGAAAGGAACAGAAAATAATAATATGCAGGTGTTCCAGCACTTGTCAGCTCACCTAATAATAGTGCAAAGAGCAATAGGGTGCAGTAACCCATAGCAATTAAACTGCACGCGTCTCAGCTCTCCACTCCCAGCTACTGAAACCCATTACTTCTAAATAGGTTACAGCCTACAATTGTTCATCGTATAATATTATTATTACAGGGGGTGAACTGAACAATAGGCAAACTGTGATCTTGAGGGCAATCTGCAATTGTTAAGCATATTGAATTAGCTATAAACAAATATTTATTTATGGAATTTATATAGCGCCGACAATTTACGCAACGATTTACCTTATGTAGATTCACATCAGTCCTTGCCCTCAAGAGTCTTACAATCTAAGGTCCACGTCTCACATGGACACATACAGGGCCAATTTAAATAGAAGTCAATTAACCTACCAGCATGTTATTAGAGTGTGGGAGGAAACTGGAGTACCCAAAGGAAACCCACGGAAGCCCAGGGAGAACATGCAAATCAAACAAATTTGCACAAAAAAACGGGGCCTAAGCCATAGTAAGCTATCAGCAATTGTCTTTCATGCCCACCCACCAGGCATTTTTTACCTGGCCACACTTAAAGGAGAACTATGAGGTGAGTGAAAATCACTCAGCCTCATAGTTCGAGCGGACGTGTGAAAATGAAACTGTCACATGTCGGCTCAATAGATCGGGAAGTGAGTGAATACATACCGTCGCTCGCTCACTTCTCGATCATCTCCCTGCAGAGAGATGTGACTGCAGTCACGGCTTCCTGCAGGGATTCCCCTCCTTCACACTCCGATCCTCCAGCACTGACTGGAGGAACGGACGAGGGAGTGGGCGGGTACAGCTGGTTCTGCCTCTAGATAGGCAGAGCCAGCTGTCACTCACGCAACTGGGTTGATCGACAGTAATGTTGGGATCCGTCCCAGCTGCGGCGGTCTCAGTATACTGCGAGCTGTAGCTCGCAATATACTAAGCTTTGGGTCACTGGAGAACGCCTGTATATGTCCTCCCGTGACCCTTAAGAGAACTATGGGGAAAAACACTTACCTCATAGTTCTCTTTTAATATGCCCTGGCATTGTGCCATACAACAAATCGCCCAGACAAAAACCTAGAAATTCTTCTTTATCTGAAGTTTGAAAAACTAAGTTTTAATTAACTCTGCCATTACATTCCATATTCTTTTACATTTTTAAATAGAATCCCAGCATGCAAAGAACGCATTGAGACAAGGCTCAACATTAGCACAGCAAAGCAATCGCCATATGGCAGAATGAAGCCATTATCCAAGGAAAAATGTAAGCAAAAGAACACAATTTCTTTATATTCTTCTTGTACTATTACGCTTCATTTGAAAGGGTTTACATTTGAAAATATAAAGCCAATGGTGGCAAACAGTGCTGTATACATTGCCGCGGCCATGATGCTTTGCATTGCAGCAAAAAATATACTGCGTGTCACATTTGAGAGGCGAGGGTGCTTGTCATGATCATGGGACCACGCTGTGACAGCGGTGATACGAAGTTGAAGCGCGGTATTGC